GGACAGCTTGAGGCTCTGTCTCAAAAAAAAAAAAAAAAAAAATTCAGTGGTTGACAGAGATTGCTCATGTGGTTGATAATGGTAAGGAAAGTGGCAATATCTAAGCAAAAAATTTTCATTTATTTTGTCATTCTGTTGAGACCAAAAAAAAGATTAAAAGAATTCTAATGGTTTGCAAGACTTCTAAAATTAGGGTGCTTAAATATAAATTACTGGACATATAGATTATCACAACCATCTAAAAAATGTTTAATATGTTTTGTAACTACTGTAGAAGGGCATATTTACCAAGTCAATTAGATAAAATTTGCTAGCTTTATAAAAAGGAACAGAACATTAAAATGACTATAGGAGGGTTGAATTTAAACTTAATTTTGAGGACATTTTGAGTACTAACTAAAATCACCCATATAACAAGTGTAGAAAAACTGCATTTCCTTTATTTTTAGCTATAGTTGTGCAAAGTTAATGTTAGGAAATATAATTGGTGCACATTTTAAAACCTTAATTTGACAGGTGAATGATATAATGTATTGCTTATTGGAATAAGGAACAAGACTGCATTTAATTTCTAATGAAAATTAAATATTAGGTATAGGGTAAAATTCCATTCCAAGGAGTCTTTAAAAACCTATTATATCTTATTTGAATTGACAGCAGCCATAAAGGGCAGATACTATGCTCAGCTCCGTCACTGAAAGTTGAAATTATGATTGTCTAATTACTTTTCCATTGGAAAAATGCATTTAGAAAAGATGTATATAATCAAGAGAGAATATACTAAAATGAAATATGTACTGTTGTTAACACACTAATGCTATTCTTCTGAAATGATATTTCTAGTATAAAAGTCTGAGGGTAGATTTGTTAGAGTGATCTGAAAATATATAGCACATTTTACTCTTCATAATAAGCAACTATGATTGATTAAGAGATAGTGCTGAATAATGGAGATATCTATAATATCTTTCCCTAGTTTTTATCACCTTCATTTCAGAGTAAGGGTAGTAATCTATTATGGGATTTTAATATTTTATTATTATTATTCAGAGAAGTTTCAGTTTATTCCATGAAGGGGGACTGTGTGAGAAATGATTATGTTATTTTTACTTTTAAAATATGAAAATATTTGAGGTTCTTAATGTGGCAATTTGGAAAATAATGCTTAATAAATGCAGAGGTTTTATAATATAGTCTTTAATGTTAGGACTAATGGAAATGTGCAGGTCTCTTAGGTGACAGATTAGAATAGGAGAGAGAATCATAAAATAAATATGAACTGTATCATGGCAACTAGAACCAAAGTATAAAAATATTGAAGAGAAACTTAGTTTTAAGAGAATTGATTTAGTATTTGTCATAAATTGGAGTCTGAGTATAGCATCATTGGGCTCCATTTAGTTGATTCTTTAAAGTGGAACTCTATTTGATACATAAATTTAATAGGTGTATGTTTCTATAATATACTAGATCTATTTTGACTAAAGCAAACACATTGGTCCTTTTTTTAAAAGCTTTAATTTTTTCTTACTATGGTGCGGGAGGGAGTGCTCTTTTAAAATTAAACAAAAAGTTCATTTATCATTCTGAGTTTAACAAAATAAATGCTGAGGCTTGACTGTCTATACACATTCTTTAGTTAAATGTTTTAGTTTTCTTCATCAGGCCATGTAAAAAATGAAAAGGTAATAGATACACAACATGATGTAGAGGGATAGAAAGCTTACTTTATTATTTCCAAATATGTAGTTTATTAAGCTTTGAGCACTTTTTAAAGAATTCTTGAAATTAGCTGTAAGATTGTTAAGGTTCAGATTTGCAGATGCTTGGAGATGCATCATTAATGTTATAAAATATGTTTGCTTCAGTATGTGTGTGTGTTTTCTCTAAGCATACTTTGCTAATCTAGTTACTCAAGAATTTGGTGCTCCAGTATTTTATAGACAATGGATTGAGATTGTGCATAGTAATTTTTGTTAATTTCCACCTAATTTTTTAACATACCTATTTTAGTCCATAAAGACTTACTTTACATAAGTAAGCTATATTTTAGCTATATTCTAGTTATAATTTTTAAAGTTATATTCTAGTTATAATTTGTGTTTAAGCTATAATAAAGGTAGCTACTGCAATTATAGTTACAGAGTTACAGTGGACTGGAGTTGGATGGCCTTTGTTCTCTACTCTCTCATGAAATAATTGTTTTCATAGTAAATTAGGAGTTAGGAAACTTATTGTGGCTATTTTTCTTCCTGTGTTTCCAATATATAACATAATTGTAGATTATTCTCTTCCACATTTGAAATATTTATTGTCAGTAGTAAAGTAGTTTTAAAATACAAGGATTCTGTATGCTGAAGACAAGGAAAGAATTTATTAGGATATTTGATTAGACATGAAGAATGCTCACATGAACTTGATATGTCTGGTTTGCTGTATTTGAATTTCTGGGTGAATGGGCTATAAATAGCTGGTGATTAATTGATGATCCAGATTTCTAAGGAACACTATGATGTAAAGCTAGTACAGCATAGTAGGGTACAGTCTTGAGAGTTAAACAGGTAGATTCACATCTTTTAAGCAGTTGGGATTTTGGTTTTCTCATGGATGAAATGGACATGTTGAGTTGGAGTTTGGTTTGAGTTTTATCATATTTGGGATATTAGAGGTGATAATTCTACTTTTCTGGCCTTCTTAGAATTTAGTACTAGTTGAGAGAGAGGACAGGAGTCAGACAGAGTTCAAAGTAACAGTCCTAATGCAGATCCTTACATTGGGTTGGAGAATGTAACTTAGATCTGTGGCCTTCCATGGTTGGCTTCCTTAGTATAACGGCACCTTTAGACTTTGGGCTTTTTGTTCAAGAGGGAGAGTTCATAGATGTAAAGCAAACACACATATTTAAGTTGCTACCTTACACCCTATGGCCCTAATGGTGGCAACATAGAGAGGTGGCTCTATGGATCTGTCTTTGAAAGGCAGACCTTGCACATGGAAGAGCTGGGAAGAAACTGTGTGTTCCTTAAGCTGCAAGTTCTTAAAAGAAAAGGAGGGAAAGGTTGAGGTGGGTACTACATATGCTTACATCCTTTTCCTAGTCCTTCAACGAGAAGTGAAGGAAAAGTGAAGAACCAACAGAAGCTATCTTCCTACTTCAATGGGATGGAAGTGCCTTTGTCTTGAAGTCATAGGACCTTGTCATTTGAAATTACAGTAAAATCAGTTTAGTTCCTGAAGGGAAGTATTTACCCTCATGTAACATTAGTGCTAAATTCCCTTGCTTTTAATCCTGAAATGTCAATGGAGACAAAGGAAGTCCTATTCTGTCCTCTTTAGCATTTGAAATATGTTTGCTGTGCAGTGCTACAGTGTTTTGCTGCTTTGGGTCTGCGGATCTGAATAATTTGAGGAGAGAAAAGAGTCTATACTTCAGAAAGTATAATTTATCACCACAATATGTTTTTAGTAAATTGTAATCTAAACATGCCTCTGAGCATATGCCTAAACAGAGTCTGATTATTGAGAAGTTTAGGTGGAAAAATATGTAGTGTCTCCCATGGTACCTTCGGAAAAAGTGGTTAAGCTTTATTGGGTCATTCTGGATTGAGGTCTACCCTTTTGGATCATGATGTGCAACAAAATCTGAGATTAATTTAACCACTTAGGTTCTCTCATTGTTGACAAGGCAAATTTTCTTTTCACACTTGCTGGCAGGAACCTTTGAATCTTAAATAATACAATTTTAGAGGAAAATAAAAACAGCCAACTTTTAAAGTTTGATCTTGATTATTCTGCTGTAGATCATCAGAACCCCATTTTTGTTGTTGGTGGTGATAGTTTATTTCCTGGTCATTTTCTTGGGTCACTTTATGAGTCAATATTTATTGCAAAGACAAAAGTGGAAGGAGGAGATGAAACCTAAATTAATTTTTCCTTTTTTTTTTTTTTAACTTGTAAGCACCTGGTTTGAAAACATGTATAGAGGATAGGGTATGAAAAAAAGACAGGAAAGTATTCCAAGAAAGATTTTTCTTTTGTAGAAAGTTGAGCATTTCATGTTCCTATACTGTTTACTGGTTACTTAGTTTAACAGTTGAGGGTTAAACTTGGGAATATCCTCTTGCTCAAGGAACATTTGATGGTAATTTACTTGAATTTTATTGATACCCCATGAAGCACATTATTTTGTGTGGCTAACCTTTTCTTATTTTTAATTTCAGTTGACCCCATTAAGATACTAATGCCGTCACTATCTCCTACAATGGAAGAAGGAAACATTGTGAAGTGGCTGAAAAAGGAAGGTGAGCAAGAACATTACTCATGCATTGTTATTTGGTGCTTTGTGCTTTGTTATTTTGGTCACTTGGGGGTTTTTTTCTAATCAGTTGTGTTATGCAATACAGGATATATATTAAATTAGTTGTGTTCCTTTCCTAGTTAACATACATTTGTTTAAATAAAATTTTCCCATAGTGATGTAACAAAGATTTTCTGGGTTGAGCCTGTGTCTTTTCAGGCTCAGAATAGTGAAATATTTCAAGGCCTTTCCCCCAAATTTTAGTCCTTATACATGGCTTTAGGTTTCAACTTCATAAATTTTCATTCCCCTTAATTCATGACTTTATCATGATTATGTGTGTGTGTGTTTTCCTAGAGCTATGCAAGTTGATTATAAATTTGAAAAAAGCAGATAAAAGTTACAAGGAAAACCCTCAAAAGAAGAGTAGAAGAGGCAGGTTGTAGCCCTACTAGTTATTGAAATATATTGTTAAGCCTCTAGAATTAAAACTATTGGATTGGTGCTTTAAAAAGACAGATGAATGGAAGTGACTAGGAAATGAGGAATACGTGTAGTTACACAGGGAGATTTAGTGTATAATGAAGAAAAACAATATTAGATTTATTCTCTGTATTATGTCAAGATAAATTACAGATGACTGAAACAATATACAAAAATGAAACTAGAGGTGAGGGATGGTGGTTTTCTGTGAACCTGGAAGTAGAATAAAACCCCTAACTATAACTCAAAATTCAGATAGAATAAGGGAAATACTGACAAATTTGATCATATAAATAATAACTTTTGTGTAGCTGAAAACATGATAAATCAAGTAACCAAACAGTGACAGATTGGAAGAGTATTTGCATTTTATATTATAAATAGTTAATATTCCTAAAAAATAGAGAATAAGACTATAACTCAATAGGAGACTAGGTAAAGATACACGTGTATGAACAGATGGTTTACCGAAAAAGAATTTTCAGTGCCTCTTAAACACAGGAAAAGATTCTTAACCTTTCTACTGTTAAGAAATACACACACACTTTACTGAGATATCACTTCTTACTGATTATATTGACAGACATTATAAAGTTTGATAAGCTATTCTGTTGATGAGGCTGTGGAGAGAACAGGAGAAAGTGGGCACTCTCATACATGGCTAGAGGAAATGCAAAATGGTATAAATACTAGGGAAGAGAATTTGGCACTATCTAGACAAATTACATTAATATTAATATTTGGCCCAGCAACTACCTCTAGGGATCTATCTCAGTGTTACATGGGCAAAAAATGAGAAAGGACAAACGCACAGGCTATTTATCATAGCGTTATTTGTAATAGCACAAGGTGGAAGCATCCCAAATGTTGGTGAGTACAGGATTTGTTGAATAACGTTTACTGCATCCACATCTGTAAAAAGGAATGAAGAGTATCTCTTTATACTGCTGTGGAGTGATCGTCAGTGCAAAAAGCATGGTACAGATGAGGGCATATAGCTTTGTATCATTCATCAAGGAAAGGGGTGGCAATGCTAGCATTTTAAAAATTAAAAAGAAAGGGTAAATAATGTAACAATAATAACAGATGGCTGTCTATAGAGTAACAGAGGAAATAGTGTAGTGGAGAAAACAGAAGCTGGAGTTCACTGAATATATCTTACTTTTTCTCTTGGACTTGGAGCCCTAAAAATTAAAGCAAATTGAAATAGATGATTTTAATTATATATCTGTTTGCTAACATAACTATACAGGGAAAGACTATTTCAAATGTCATTTAATTTGGCTATATATTCCTAATAGATTATAACTGCAGGACAAAGCATCTCCAAAAAATAATCCTGAGTTGTTAAGAGTAATCATATTATGGTGGTTATGTTGGTATTCTAAGGCTTTTGTCTGTATTTTATGAGATAAGGCAAATGAGTGGTTAAGATGATATCATTGGAAACCAGAGTTTTGATGTGGTTTATAGGAGAAACAGATATAAGATAGGTAAGGTTAGGAAAGACTCCGTGGTGGCACATTTTCTTCTAGCTCTTTCTTTGGCAATACATAGTAAAAAGGTCCAGTCCAGTAGCAGTTATCCCCTAGTGGCACTCAGACTGTAGTCACTGAATACAAATTCCTATTAAAGTAAATGAAGGCTCCTTGGAGAATAGCTACTTGCAGGTCTGGGGCAGAAAATTACAAATGAGCTTGGAATATTTGTGACTTCAAAAAGCCAAGAAGCTATCAAAAACTCCTGAGAGCGTGTTAAAGCACTCAGGAACCAGAGCTTGGACAGTTGGAGAATCCGTAAGGATAATAACTACAGTGTATTAGAAAACATTAAATATATTTGAACCTTTAGTTCAAAGTAGCTGGAAAAACTTGGCTGGACATGGTGGCTTACGCCTGTAATAGGAGGTGTAAGCACTTTGAGAGGCTGAGGCAGGAGGATCACTCAAGCCCAGGAGTTTGAAAGCAGCCAGGGCAACATAGCGAGACCCCTATGTCTACAAAAAATGAATAGCCAGGTGCCATGGCATGCATCTTTAGTCCCAGCTACTCAGAAGGCTGAGGTAAGAGGACGACTTGAGATTATGGTGAGCTCTGATTGTGGAGGAGAAAGGAAGAACCCTAATAACAATTGGTCACTTTGAAGGATACTAAGAAATTAACTAATTGAAAACTGGTAATAAATGGAAAGACTTTTTTTCTGCTTTTTCTATATGAACTATAGCCCAGGATAACTAAATATAATAATTGATAAGGAAAAGTTTCTCATTATTAGCATATCTCAGCTGTTAAGTGGAAAAATCATAGAAAGTCACTGTATCACCATTTTGCAATCTCTAATGAAATAAGGGATATTGTAGCCAGTGATCATCAGTGTCTGCTAACATCACAAAAAGATAACTGGATATTATGTGCTTTCTGCTGCGAAGTAGTCTTGCCATAAAGTTGAACCGGATATACTCAAGCCTATAACTCTAACTTCCGTTTTCCAGGAAATATAGGGGAAAGTAGATCATGTGCAGTGAGACTGTGAGGAATGTATCAGTAAAAGCCAGACCATAAGGAATTCTACAGGCCAGTTTCTTCAGGAGTTCAGGAATTTCAGGAAGGGACAGGGAAGGGAGAGTGAACCCATGGCATAAAAGAGATTGGAGAACATTGCCAATATTTGGACCTTATTGTGATTATGATTTAAGCAAATAAAACAGATGGGGACTTTGCAACACTGGATGGATATTTAATGATATTAAGGAATTATTAATTTTAAAGGCTTAATAACAGTATTTTAGTTTTTAAAAAAAATCTTATTTGTAAAAGACGTGAGTTGAAATACCTATGCATAAAATGATGGTATGTTTAGGATTGACTTCAAAATAACAAGGTTAGAGGATGAGCCAGTAGGGAGGGGTGTAGATAAACAAGACTGGTCATGAATCAGTTGTCAGTGTGTAAGTGGGGTAAAGGATACACATGGCTTTGTTAACTTTTCTCACCATTTTTGTATATGTTTGAAATTTTTATAATATATATATTTAAAAGTTGTACAAATGATTCAGGATCTAATTTGAGGTGATATATTACTCTTTCTTCAGCTTTTTATATGTACCAGATGAATTTGATATTAGTATTATAAGAGAATATTTGATGTTGTATTACTCCACTGTGTCTAGTAATCATTTTGCCAGGGTTTAAGTACCTAGTATAGTGCTTAGAAAATAAGTCCAGGAATATGAGGGCCAAAGAGGTGAGTATGCTGCAGTGCTCATTGTACAGGACAAAGGAGTTAGGAAAAGAGACTTTGTATATTTCTGGCAGGTGCTTTCTTTTCTTTCTCTTCTGGTCATCGTCTCATGCGAATGTAGAGTCACCAGGAGTCACCTCTCTAGGTATTGGGCACAGAATATACTCTTTTAGTAGTCTATATAGCCATCTTTTCTTATGCTTGTTTCATGCCACGCCAGGTTAAACTTGTGGAGGAAAGAGGGTGAATTTTTAGTTCCTAATAGGGTTGTCAGATATATAGAGTAATTATAGGTGACCAGATGAGTTCTCTACAACCATTATTATGCTTCACCTGGAGAAATGGTGAAGCAAATGTTCACAAGGGTAAGAGAGAAAGGAAGAACAAGTTGAGAATGAAGGACATAGCCTGGGGAGGACTTGTCTGATACCAGAGACTAGCCCTGGCCAGCACTTCCAGGGTGTCCAGATGTGATTCAGTGGGTACAGATGTCATTCAGGCAAATGCTGGTATTGAGTGGTTCAGTCTAGTGCTTACCAAGCAGCATTTAGAGACTTTAGTCAGGAGGCAGAACTTCAGAGCCTGGCAGAGTTGTGCCGTGACTGCCGAAGGTCTAGCCTATCATGGTATCACTTTTGCCAGTGATGACAAGTGTGAAGATCAGGAAGAGGGCTGGCAAGTGTTTACTTGAGAAGCCTCCAGATGAGCTTGGGAATTTGGGACAAGGCCTCAGTTCCCAAGGAGTTTGGGCTGCTAGGAAGGGGAACAGAATAGATTATGGATAGAACTGTGGATTGAGCCATTATGGAAGTTAGGAGGTATGGCACAGTGAGGCTATCCAGATGATCGATCATGACTGATCCTTGATGTACCCAGTTCTGATTGGAAACATTACTTAATTCTGTTCCTTAGTGGGGAATATGTGTTGAGTTTGTTAATATGTTTCCTTTCTTCTTATAACTAACATGGTAATTGGAGCAGACCTATCAGCACTGTAAGTGGTTGGTTAATATAGGTATTAGCAGAGGCAAGAGTAAGTTAAACGCAGAATATGTGACAGGGACCTGGGAAGGCGTTGCAGATTAGGTATTATTTGAGCAGGTCCTTCTAGAATAAATGGACTTTTTAAAAAGTGCGAAAGAAGAATACTCCAGTGAATACAAATGTATGGGTAAAGACTTTGAAAGAGGATGTCATGAGACATATTTTGCCAATGGCAGGGAGTTCTGGCCGCATTCTGAGGGTATAGTGGGTGTGACATAAGATAGGTTGTGAGAAGGA